AAGGTGACAGCAGAGAGGGGTGCGTCGGGGGCGGATGGGGCCAGGGGTGTGGGGTAGGAGGACGCCGGAGTGAGGGCCTGTGTATGGGGAGCGAGCAGCACCGCGTGAGGGGAGCTGTGCAGCGGTACTGTGCTTTGTTAGGGCGGGCGGTGCGTGGAAGGAGGGTTTCCTGTGAGGGGCACCCCCACACTGTGGTCTGTGTGAGGGGAGCTGCCGAGAGGGAGGAGTGGGGTTGTCCCATGATGAAAGGCTTCTATGAGGGTGGATATATGGGGGATGGAGAAGGGAGAGGTGTCTGAGAAATTAATGCAGTTGAGTATTGTGGGGTGATGTCTGGGAGGAACGGAGTTACAATTTTGAGGTGCAAGTGGGAGGAATATTAATAGAGGAAAAAGGTGCTTGGGGTGGGAGGGAAAAAATAAAGGTGATGAAAGTGACTGGGAAGGTGTTATAAGGTGAAACCAGTAATGTGGATAGTGTCAAGGATTAAATAGAAAAACTGGAATACAGGGATGAGTATCCTGGCTGAGTCCACCAGTGCTGGAATCTGCCTTGATCACATGTGCTCATTGCCTGAGCGACTGGCAGGGTCAGAGAAGAATTATTTTGCCTATTTTTCACTGTTAGAAAGTAAATGAAACTCCTCTGCAATGGTAGCTACATCAAAGTTTTCTTGTACATCAAAGCTTTGCTAGGTAGGAAGCCTTGGAAGTGATGTAATGAAGTATTATTTACTTGGAATTTGTTTGCTAGTGATTAGCGTTGTTTCTGTACAAGTACAAATTCTCCCCTAATGATTGGTTAGTTTTGAACGTTGGAGCTCAGTTACTGTGATAAAGTAAACTCCCCTGTTGTAGCTCTTACCTTTAAGTATTTACTATTGTATTTGGAAAAAAAAGTGTTTTGAAGACTTTTCATAACAGTACTTTGAAGAGACACTGACAATATTTGGCTGCAAGCCTGCCATAGGAAATGCATGTGTACCAGCAGATCCCTACTGATTTAATTGTTGCTGTGTTCAAAGCTGTGTCTGAATTCTGAGTAAGAGAAATTGTAACTGCTGTGTATCACCACGAGTTAGAATTTAAATCTCCTATTCATCATCAACAATTGTTGTTCGCCATCCTCTTTGCCCCTTTGTGTTGCCTAAAATTTGTTGGAAGCATTCTCTGTTGCAAGTCAGCAGCTTTACCTGCTTTGCAGCTCTCTTACCACCTAATGTTTTTCTTTTGGGCTTTCCTTTGTTGTTGTTGCATAAAAATTTTGTTGCTATTACAAAACAGATTTTTGTGCTTGAGACACTGCTCAGTTTTCACTTTCAGATTTACTTCAGTAGGCATATCACATGTTGCTTAGAAGCATATGCTACACTTCATTTGTTTTCTCAATGATATGTAAACTTCTTCATACCCGAGTAATTTTAAATGGTAGTTGTATTTTATTTGTAAAGAAAAACATGTAACCGTATATATGAATTTATGTGACTTCAAGTTCATTGCCCAACATACTGTAGGGCTGTTTCTTCATACGTCTACGCTATTAACCATCACTTCTGTAAGTTAGTAGCCAGTTCCTGTTTCAGTGTGAAGTTAAGTACATGTACGCACAGACACGTAATGGTGATGTAGATTGGGGGCTTATTTTGTTCTTCTGCATTCTTTGTTTTCCCGTTTTATAACTCAGTAAGCATTGTGATTCTTGACTTGTATTCCCTCCTCCCCAGGGATATGTAATAAATATGAACTATTTATATGATTTTTTTTTTCTTAGTATTAATGGATATAGTTGTATAGGTTAACATTAACTTACATGCGCCTTGGGAAAAGGAAAAAAAATTGAGGTATCTTCGTATCTATACTCACCCTTGAAAATTTTAGACTTGCTGTTGATGGATGATGACAGTGAGGAAGTATGGAATACTCATTTGAGCTAATTCTTGTTCATGTGTGGTGTTTTTTGGTGTGTATGGGGTTTTGGGGCGTTGTGGTTTTATTTGCTTGCTTTTTGTTAAACAGTTTCAATTTTGCTTTGTAGAACCAAGTAAGTTTTCACAAACACTGAATGGAATTCCTTCTTCAAACACAGTCAGCAGTGGAATGGACCCCTTCCATGCTTGTAGTATTCTTCAACAGCTTAAAACCATGTATGATGAAGGACAACTGACAGATATCGTAGTGGAAGTGGATCATGGGAAAACATTCTCCTGTCATAGGAATGTTCTTGCTGCAATCAGTCCTTATTTCAGGTACAATAGTCCATTGTTCTAGTGGTGATCAAAAGCAGAATCATAACTTGTTTTCATTAAATGAAAATTAGAAAAAAAATCACACCTATAGTAATATTCCATGTAACTATCAGTAATGCAGTGCATCTAGTAAGTAAAGATTATTGTTCTCTTAATGTCAATGAATTATCAGTGTCTGTTTAACAAAGAAGAGTATCAGTGGAGAAAATGTCCCATGATTTATTAAAAAAAAAAAAAAAAAAAACCAACCCAAAAATGCCTCCACTAGAGAGGGTATCTTGGATACAGTAACGGCATAGTTAAACTACTTGTTTCCTTTTAAAGTTATGTATTATAGTATGCTAGAATATGCATATGAAATAACATGTTGAAAGTTGAGTGCAAAGACTTGGATATGTGAGGAGCTTTGGTTGTAAACTAAGTGAATTTTAATATGGGGTTAGTGAGATAATTAAGAAATTTCAGCTTGCCACTTTTGTTTTGGCAAGTCTAGGACTGATCTTAAATTTAGGTACCCAATCAGTGATAAATGTATTTGTGCTGCTCTAAGGGCAACCACATTGGGATTAGCTGTACAATATAATTTCATTTCTTACACCTGTAGTGGGAAGGTAATTACAAATAAACTGCTAAATATTTTTCTTTTGTAGATCTATGTTCACTAGCGGCCTTACAGAGAGTACCCAGAAAGAAGTTCGTATAGTTGGTGTTGAAGCAGAGTCAATGCATTTAGTATTGAACTATGCATATACCTCCAGAGTAATGCTGACAGAGGCCAACGTTCAAGCTTTGTTCACTGCAGCTAGTATCTTCCAGATCCCTTCCATACAAGACCAGTGTGCTAAATATATGATCAGTCATTTGGACCCACAGAACTCCATTGGGGTGTTTATCTTTGCTGATCACTATGGTCATCAGGAACTCAAAGACAAATCGCAGGACTACATTCGTAAAAAGTTTCTGAGTGTCACCAAAGAGCAAGAATTTCTTCAGTTGAGAAAAGACCAACTGATAAGCATACTCGACAGTGACGATTTAAATGTAGACAAAGAAGAACATGTTTATGACAGCATTATAAGGTGGTTTGAGCATGAACAAAATAAGAGAGAAGTGCACCTTCCAGAAATATTTGCCAAATGCATCCGTATGCCTCTGTTGGAAGAGACGTTTTTAGAGAAAATCCCTCCCATGTTTGCACAGGCTATGGCCAAAAGCTGTGTACAAAAGGGACAACATAGTGCCAATGGCTATACACAACGGCTTGGAATGACCGCTTCTGAAATGATCATATGCTTTGATGCTGCCCACAAACACTCAGGAAAGAAGCAAACAGTGCCTTGTTTAGATTCGGTCACAGGGAGAGTGTTTAAACTATGCAAGCCACCAAATGACTTGAGGGAGGTTGGAATTCTTGTGTCTCCTGATAATGATATTTATATTGCGGGTGGTTACAGACCAAGCAGCAGCGAGGTCTCCATTGACCACAGAGCAGAGAGTGATTTTTGGATGTATGATCACTCTGGCAATAGGTGGATTCAGAAAGCTCCATTGTTGCGAGCCAGAATAGGCTGCAAATTGGTTCATTGCTGTGGTAAACTGTATGCAATAGGTGGTTGCGTTTATGAAGGAGATGGGCGAAACTCACTCAAGTCTGTGGAGTGTTATGACAGCCGAGAGAACTGTTGGACAGCTGTCTGTCCGATGCCGGTAGCAATGGAGTTTCATAGTGCTGTGGAATATAAGGATAACATCTATGTTTTACAGGGTAAGGTTGTTTGACTGACTATACGGTGGTTTTTTTGGAAGTGGGGATTGTTCAATCTGACTGTCTGCGCTCTCTTAAGCACCTTAGAAAACCCAAGTTTCCTGGACGTTTAAAGAGTACCCTGGGACAACGGGGTGGGAGGAATGCTAAGGAGAGCAGTGGGTGAGGAGGAGTGAGGTTTCTGCTTGGGTTCTCGTGCCCTGGGAAATGTGTCACTAACTTGTAGTATTGAGTTATTGCACAAAGGGCAGTTTTGGTGGAGTTCTAAGTCAACAGCTTAGTATTAAATTTTACTGTGAAAATTCTTTATTAAATCATTTTTATCTGGGTGAAATGCACTAATGTTGAAGAAAAGATATTGTCCTATGAAAAAGCACTTTGCATTTTATTTAGCTAAACCTGTGAAAATTCCTGTTGTCTCTATTCTTGGTGACTCATAAAAGTCAATTAACCACTGTAGGCCTTCTTTTCCTGCCCTACCCTGCTTTTTGAAGTCATCCTGGTAACTAAGAATGATGATTTATCTCTTTGTAGTTAACTCTGTTTCTTTGGTCAGTAATTATAGTACTGCCTTTACATTTGGTAAATGATCAGACTTATTGGTGTATTGGATATTGATTCCTAAATGAATAAAAAGGATCATTATGGGAATGGATCAAATTAAATTATTCTTCCCTTTATTTTATTTATGGAGATCTTGCATACATAGAAACACATATTTTATATATGAGCCATACAGCAGTCTACACTTAAAAGCACTGAGACTGGTCTGTGAGGCTCTGGTGAGAGTCCCAAGCAGTGGAAAGAAGGAGGAGGGGGCGTCTTGGTTATGTTTTGCTAAGGGCCACCTCTGTTTAAACACCTGCCGAAGCTGGGGTCTTAGATCCATACCAGCTCCCTCTTTGGGTCACTTTCCATACAAAGCTGGACCACAGGGACGAGACAGGGTAGAGAATACTGTTAAGGTCATTGTTATTTACTGGAAAAAGTCAACCTGGTTTCTTGACTTTGTATTCCTGCCACTCAGTAAGGTCGGTGGGCTTCCATGTGGTTTGCAAAGAGTTTTCTTCTTTCATTGTTTCTCTATCAGGTTTGACTCTTGTTGGTTGTGGCTTTAAATAATCCTATTGCATTAGCAATGTCTCTGAATCTGTCTCTTCTATTGGGTCAGACATCTGCTTTAGGTGGTTAGAAAGGAATGCTGAAGAATATTTAACTTGGTAGAGTAGTTGTTCATCCTTTAAATGTTTTTAGAACTGCTAAAAAGTAGATATTATAACCTATAGAATAAGAATAAAAGTGTTTACAAATTTTAGCTGCACTAATTCTGTGCTTCAGTTGTTTAAACAATGACTCAATGCTCGCATAAATAAGCAAGCTACTTCACTGTGCTAACCAGCAAATTATAAAGATTCCTGTTATGGGAAATAGGCAGCTATTCTATTTGAGTGTGGTAGATAAAACCTTGATTGAGTGGCACTGAAAAAATAAAGTTAATTTTCGTAATTTTTCTAGAGAAAGCTCATAAGTTTGAAGTAGTTAATAAGGATTGGTGAGAGTGTTAAAATGCCAACGGAAAGCAAGCGTCAGTCATAGGAGATTACACCGTGGAACAAAAATGAATAATCAAAAAATGTGTTATCTGTAAGATTTAAGAGATTAAGCTGTGTTCCACCCATTTTACTGTATTATTTCTGTGTTCTTTGTTATACTTGAGGTGCTTGGTTACACAGCAGCTTGGTTAAAATTCTTAAAATAGACATGTGAAATCATATATGATTTGAATTATGCCAATATTTGGTACATGTTGGGCCTTTCTTCTCCTGGGCTTTACAAAAGACAAGGTGGTCTTTATCCATGTTATTCTCATCAAGTTTGCAGAGCATGAGCTTTCAGTCACCTGAACTTCCATTATGTACAGTCTGTAGATGCTACTCTGTGCAGTCAATGGAAGAGGTGTTTCATAATCCTACCGCAAAGTTAACGATGAATCAATAGCTTCATGCAAGTATTCACCTGGCATCCTTTTAAGCAGATCAACTGAAATGTGTAACCCAGCCACCTGATACAAGTAGCTTTAAAATCTGTGTGTAGTACAAGACACCATTATTTGCTCAGATTTGGCAACTTTCAAGCACTGAATTCTGAGACTCCACAGTCTGTAGATGACCTGTTGTGAAGGTGTTAAAGAATGAAACAAATACTTCGGACATTTCAAGACTGGAAGCTTGAAAGGTTTTGTCCCAAGTTATTAAGCACTGTTTAGAAGTAGTAAAGGATAGCTAGGAAATACGTAAAACGTTGTATTTCTGATATGCTTCAAATTCCCTCCTCTTCAGCTGGAATAGAAACTCAAAGTAGTTTTTACTCATGCTATTAATATTTTTGTAACGCACTTGGAAGAAAGCAGGTGATGGTGTTAGGTGTTTTGTTATGGGATCAAAGATTCTAAAAGTTGGTAGCCCATTTCTCTCTGTGGAAGAACATACCTGAAAGCTTAGTAGCTGTGGAATTGCTGTTCTGGAAATGATGCTTAAGTTATGTTTTATTTTTCCTCTCTCTTTTCAGGGGAATTTTTTCTCTGCTATGATCCTCAGAAGGATTACTGGGGATTTTTGACCCCCATGACTGTGCCTAGAATCCAAGGCTTGGCAACTGTGTACAATGATTCCATCTACTACATAGCTGGAACCTGTGGAGACCATCAACGTATGTTTACCGTAGAGGCCTATGACATTGAACAAAATAAGTGGACTCGAAAAAAAGACTTTCCATGTGATCAGTCCATTAATCCATACATAAAACTCGTACTCCTCAAAAATAAACTCCATCTGTTTGTCAGAGCTACTCAAGTCACTGTTGAAGAACATGTTTTCAGAACCAGCAGGAAGAATTCACTCTACCAGTATGATGAGGTTACTGACCAATGGCAAAAAGTATATGAGACTCCAGATAGGCTCTGGGATTTAGGCCGGCATTTTGAATGTGTTGTTGCTAAATTGTATCCGCAGTGTCTTCAGAAAGTTATTTAAATTTTTTTTTTTTTTCAGTAACAGGCCTTAGTGATTTCAGTGGTAATCTGATGCTAGAGAAAACATGTCTTAAAAGAAAACAAAGAAATTCTGTCAGTATTTATTGTAAGCTGAAACAGACAGTTTTTTTGTATATGGGGATGGGTGCTCTTTAAAGGTTGCAGTCTGGGGAGGGAATTACTGGTTCAGTTTCATATTTACTGATTTTTTTTCTGGGAAATGAGAAGGAGGTTAAAAAGTGCAATTATCAGCATTTTTTTTCTGGTAAACACTTAATCATGTCATACTAGAGGGGTGTTTTTGTGGTAAGAGCAAATTAAGTGGAAGAGCCAGGATAACTATGCACTACAGTGAAAGAAAATCTAGCATTAATAGCTAAGGATGTCCAAGATGTTTTGAAGTGACTTTTCTCTTTTTTCTCTTTTTTTTAAATACGGGTAAAATTTGAGGCAATATCACTAAGTTGGTGGTTTGGGTTGTTTTGGTGTTTTGGTTTGGTTTTTTTGGTTTTTTTTTTGTTTTTTTTTTAGTTTTAGATTGAAAGTACATAGAGGAATGGTAGATCCTGATTCATAATGATTTTTTTTATACTGTTTTTGAAGTCTGCTAAGATGTTTGTGATGTTGTTTGTGCACTACAATTTGGGAGGAAAAACTCAAGTCAGAATTGGAACATGGAGTACCCTTGCCCCAAATGGAGGCACTGTACCACTTCCTGCCTGTGGATTTTTGTTAAAATCAAGTTTAATGATGGGGCGGGGGGGGAATCCCAACACCTGTGTTCTGCCACATGATGTAGTGCTGTAAAAACTTTTTTTAACACTGCTTAAAACCTTTTTTTTCATCCCATAAAGGGCTTTAACCCAAAAGTTGATGGTGCTAGTACGTTTTTAATATTTGTTTGTCTGAAATGGGCTAGCCTTTTGCTACTGTTTAAGACAGCCTGTTGTTTTTCATGGAGTGTGTGTCTGTCTTCAGGCCCTGTCCTGTCATCATATTGTCTTTTTTTAACATAACATTTTTACTGCAGTGGTATTCTTGCACAGAATGGTGACAGGATATGGCCTTAATATTGATTTTACTTTTTTTTCTTTTTGTGTGGAGTGTTCATTCTGTCTCCACTAAAGTACAGTGCTGTGTGCAGAGTTGGCATGTGCTCCAGTAATTTGGAAAAGTGTGGCTTAACTTTACAAGTTGTTTTTCTTTTCCCCCTGCAATCAAGCCCTGAAATACCTTCTATTTCATTCTGATATATAATGTGAAAATTTGCACTACTGAGCTGTCTTCGCTATCCAGTGTATTAAAGCAAAATTGACAGTAAGTGTCCATGGCTTAAAGAATCTTAGATGTACATTTAGAATAGGGACCCAATATATTGCAACACTTTTCTCTATGTATTTAACACTCAGCTTATTTTTAAGAACTAAATGAGTTCAGAGTTCAGCCTCTACTTCAGTAGTGAAAACTGGATTTAAAAGGGAAAAGACGAATCCTAAAACTCAATCAGCTGTGACTTGCCAGGTTTAATTTGTTACAGCTCTAATTTTTGCAGAGCTGCAAGTATGTTATCTTACTCTTCCCTATTTTCTCTAATTCACCTAAGTAAACCAGTTAACTTGAAATGGCAGTGGCCATCACTGGCTGTAAGTGCTTACCATTATCTGGCTTAACAGCTGATATTTCAGTAAGCCAAATATTTAGCTCGTTGTTTATCCCCCTGGCATGGCTGAGGATTTGGATAATGTTTGTTTACTATGTGGTCTTACTGTTCCCAAATGGAATCTTTCTAATACACGAAAATACTCGCCTGGTTCTACTTCTTAATTCTTGCACAAAAAGTTTAAAAGGCAAAAACAAACAAAAAACTGTGAAATGAAAAGAAAAAAAAATGCCTCTTTGCATTACATACCTCATCTTCCAGAGATTCACCAAACCGCTCCTTTCAAATGCGAGCGCCTGATTTTTTTCTGAAGTTGACAATTCTTGCTAAGACTGCATTTTCCAACAGTGTTGAGGTGTGTTGTTTCTTTGTTTAGTTTTCTTCTGGATACTGTTTTTTATATATCCATAGCCAAGAATAAGAGTTTTTTTTTTAAAAGTACAACTAATTTCATTTTTTAAATTATCCTTAGTCTTTGGCTAGCTCTCTTTGGCGCTGTTGTAGGCCTCTAGCTGCAAGCTTTCTGAAGCACCCTCCCTAACAGTGTTGCATTTGTGTGTAAAACCATTTTTTTTGCAAAGTGTTGTGTAACTTTTTTTCTTGTTTTTTGTTTTTGTTTTGTTTTTTTTTTTAGCTTGGTTGAATATTTACAAGACTTCTTGCTGCTTTTTGACAATCTTCTATATTTATTTAGTAGAACAAATTTCAATATATTACTTGAAACTATGAAATAGAATTGAGTTAGCAATTGACTGGTCATGTGATGTATAGAAGTACAATATGCTGTGGTTAATTCTGCAGTAGGTTTGTTAATTTTGTTTATCTGCACTAAAGTACGAAGATCTCCATTCTGTTTAACCATTCAAGCTGAGGGTGTGATCCAAGTCTGTAATGTGTTTAAAAGCTAAATCCTGGAACTTGCCGTGGGAGTAGAATATACTAAATCTTGTGCATGAGGAGTTTGTTGAGACAAGTAACGTAGCTGTGACATTTTGCCAATTCTTAAATGCTTCTACGTTTTGCTGGAAGTCAGATTCCTGGTAAAGTTTTGCTTTAGTCAGGCTTAAGTAAACTTGCACAGCACAAAAAAAGAAATAATTGCACCAAAGGTACTGATAATATTTAAACAGTAATCTGTACATTTTCCCCACTTGGTATTTTTTCTGCATTCATTTACTTCCCTTTATTAAATGAATTTCTAGCATTGTAAGGACTAACGTGAGTGTAAATCTCTTTTCCAAAATTATTAGTTACTTTAGAAAGAAACATTTTGTAATTTCCACTTGATTCCATCAGTAAAAATTTAGCATAACTAAAAGCAGTTTTGGTGCACCAAACATGCAGTGTGTGTATGTTCTACAAGAAATCGAAGAGCTCCCTGTTCGTAAGGCTGTTTAGAAATGGCATCCAACATTCAGTGCTCAGGTATGTTAGTAAGAAGTACTGTAGTCCTATGAGGGCAAATGTGTGGATTTTTAAACATTTTGCCATAATTGCACAATTTTGCATTTTTACTTAATGTCATGTTATGTTTCTTAAAATAAACCTATTGTTGAAATACAATGGAGTTCAGCTGGTTTTGTGATAAATACCTTGCATGTATTTTAGAAGAGTAATTTCTGAAAATTAATCCAGTGATAACTTTTTGATGCTTGTTCAGTTTTTCTGTTTCTGCACTTGTCTCAGCTGTATGTAGCATCATGTGTTTGGTGGGGTTTTTTTTGTTTTGTTTTTTTTTTTTTTTTTGGCTAAGGCAGCCCTGTGCTGTTGCTTGAGGTGGCAGGTGCTTTGTTCTGCTTCATTGTCTCATTCTTTGTGGCTATTCAGGTCTAACTTCTCATTTGCTTACATGCAGGCGACGCAGTCTTCCTTCCCCTACCCTTCCTCCCCACCTGTGGCTGGAGCTGACGTCATGGCAGGAATGTCAAGCAGGGGCTTCCAGTCTGATAAACTGTATGTTGGAAAACCCTGAAACACTTTGTACTGAGTTTCTCAGCATCCTTATGCAATAGTTACTTCCCAGGTGGTAAAAAGGATGGGGAGAGCACAGTGATGTTGGTTGCAAAGGAGTCTGCTGCAGAGCCAAGAACAAGAGGCCTCCTCTCCTCTCGCTGTTTAAGTAAAACTGTCATTACACCTGGCTTCTGGTGTAGTGATAGCTCTTAGCCCATATGCTTGTAAATTATACTTCTTATTTGAGAACTTTTGTTCCCTTTCAGAGACTGTCTGATGACTTCAGTTGCATCGGCAGCCTGGGAAAACAACATGAAGTTCTCTTTTTTGGGAAGGCACTCCTATTGTCAGGTTCTTGCAGGCATTATTTCCACCTTCCTACCCCCTTGGCCCTTCACCCCCAGCCTGTAAACTTGTCTGGGTGTGATTTGAAGACTGTTCACCTGGCAGTTTGCTCACAGCAGAAACACTTCAGGAGTCTGTGCTAGTGGTGGCTGGGTATGTTCAGATGAACTCTGCTGCACGTGATCAGTCAGTCAGGCTGGGTTGGCTGCCCAGGCCATCCGTGCAGCAGGCTGACGTGGCAGACTGCTCGTGAGCTGTGCAGTCTGGTACCCACCTTTCTGGAGGCTGCTGCATGATGATCCTAACCTTGGGTGAGTTTGTGCTGGCAGATCCATGCTCCTGGTCACCAGTTCAGAACGGCGCGCCCCCTCCAGTCAGACTGAATAGCAGTCTGCAGCTCTCCAGTTACAGTGCCCGAGGGTCCCAGCCGCTTTGTATAATCGCTGGTTTATTTTGTGTGATCGCAGCATTGTTCCTCGTATAGTTGAGCTCTTTTCCTCCAACCTATGACAATGTGTATTGGGAAATCTTGATATCTTTTCTTTTTACAGCCTTCCATCACTGGGAAGACTTCTCCAGAGAAATTAGCCAGCAGAACAAAGGCACGCTTGCCCTTCTGCGTTCCTGTCCGGATCTGCAATTGTTCTGTTAAGAACCAAGGACACGTCCTCTCGAAGACCTAGCCAAAAAAGTGATGAAGCCAGCACAGAGGAGGTAGGATTGGTGTTTAACTTAGTGGGCTGAATAAATCAACAACACACACTGAACTATGTGCATTCTCCACTTGCTTCCACATCTGAGGGCTCAGCTGGAGCCATGAAATACTAATGACTGCTGTTAGGCAGACAGGTCTGACTAGGTTCGGCTGTACTTTCATGCTGCCTCTAGAGTTTGCTAATAAAATAATGACTGAGAGTCCAAATTGTCTATCCCCAATGTGGAGTTTGCACTGTAGTCAGCAAATACTTGACTGGTAAAAGCATCCTAGCCTGAATCTCCCTGTCTGCTGTCTCCTTTGTTTGGAGCACCTTTGCTCTGTCCAAAACTCTAAGAACTTTGAATGGAAGATCCTCTAGTGCCATGTTACGGTTTTGCAACATGCTAGTATGTAATGAACTGTTGGGACTTACAGAAATCAAGAAAGAGCTGAAGCTGACAAGAACAAAAAAGAAAGACGACCTTCTGTGATCCCCAAGGGAAAAAGTTATTCCAAAGCAAAATAACAAGAGACTGCAAGAAAGACGACCAAATCGCATTGGCTTCCTGGGGACAAATCAAATTAATTTGGGGTCTACAGTTTGGACAAAGCTAAAGCTTCAGAAGCTAACTGCAATTATCTCCTTACAAGGGCTTTTTTTAACCAGAGTGGAAAAGAAACCGAATTGAGCAGTTGTAGCAGAAGCCTTGGGGAGCGCCTCAGCCTTCAGATACATCTGAATGGTTCTTGTGCTTTGCTGCAGTGCTCGTGGCTCCTTCAAAAAGATGTCAGTTTATCTACGAGTTGAGTAGTAGCTGTTATCTGGTTTATAAAAGATGTTTATGGAGATGTCTGCGAACTTTCAGCTAAGTCATGAAAGTCCTATCTGGGAGGACTCTCGGTTTGTAACGGCCAAGGAGAGGGACGAGAGCCAAAACTGGGACAGGAGTAGTTCAGCCATGTTCTTCTGATTCTCTAATTTCTCTTCTGCTCTCATGGCAAAAATAGATAAATAAATTGGCCCCCACTGCCCCAAATATCCTAGCAGCTCTTGTGAAATCCTCCAATATAATGTGAAATGACGCACAGCAATGGATGAGATAACTTTGCATGTTGCGTGTGTGTGTGTGTCTGTGTGTGTGAGATAACTTTGCATGTTGTGAAGCATTCTGTTCAGTCTCTTAGAAGTACACTCATGTAAGCTGCCTGCGGGGGAATATCTCGCAGTTGGGCACTCGTGTGCAGTCAATAGATGGAGAAAAAACCACCCAGCTTTCTCCTTATCTCTTTGTAACATGTACCCCCCTCTCTGCCTGTCAAAGGGGGAAGACTTGAACCTCCCCCCTTTCTTAAAATCTAGTTAAGGTCCCCATGTACCTCACTGCTGATTTCATGTATTTCTGTACTTTATGCAAATATCCACTGTCAGAGGCAGGTATTTATTAACTTTAGCTAAGTTTATATGATCAAGCTACAGTTTAATGAGTTATTGCAGGAGCAGCAAAGCTGATTTCTAATGTATCTCCATAGTGGATTTTCTGAAGCACAACAAAGGTTGTGTTTGTCAGCTTTCCCTTACGGGAGGTAGCAGTGAGATCTCTTTCCTCTTTAGACAACTAATTGTTTACAAAACCTGTACAGACTCTTTACATCTTTGTAAGCTTTGGCCCTCCGCAAAATGTAACTTAAACCAGACTCCATCTCAGAAGTTGAGGTGTGTGGTAGCAGATAGTGAGAGTGACGGAGCATATGTACAGAACCCCAAATACTGTGTTTCCGCATGGAAAAAATGCTAAAAATCCACACTTGGTGAACACTTGGTTGGGTTTGACTGCTTTTTGAAGGGCTAGGCAGCTTCCTGCATGTTATAAGCTTTGATTAAAGAAGGCGTAGGTCTACCCAAAGAGGAACAAAAGGGAAATAGATGAAGCATGATGTCCTACTCCTTATAGTACCTGAGTGATGGTGAGGCCTTCCCAGCATGGAAGGATCATTGCTGCATGAAATTCTGTAAAAGGGGGTCACGGGTTTCTCCTGTGTCCTGCTGCTTTCTGCAGCTGGGGAGCAGGACATAGCCTGGCCCGACAGCCACAACAGGCTAACGGGACAGGAGGCTGTGTGCCCTGACAGCCTCAGTTACCGTCTTTAAAGCGTGGAGTCTGGCCTGTTAAAAGGCAGTAAGTGTGTGCTTATTTAGATCTTCAAGTGTCACTGGGTACTAGCGATGATAACATACCTGTAAAACAACCAAAATAGTACCAAATAAATCCATTTAAAGGAATGCTGTCTGCATTCTTGTGTCTCCTTAGACCTACGTGTGACCTCTGTTCTGCAGCTCTTACTGTCACAGAAAGCTGGCAGCGTCCAGTCCAAATGTAAGAAGCATGAACTGTATGCTCGATTTGTCCCAGCTTCTTTTTTTCATTGATACACATATAGCTTTTGATTATCTGTAAACTCCATCCTAAGTTTCATGAGATTAATTAATTTGAAGTCAAGATGGCATGTGCTACATCAGCTGCATAAAAATACTTGCAGATGAATTTTGAATTACTTTATTACCTTCCAGTTTGATTCTGTTCATTTTCCTTCAGTAACAGATTTCTTCAAACATTCTGAAAAGTTCAGGGGCAGGAATGTTTGGTAAGCATCAAATTAACCTTCTCCCACAGTCACTAAATGAAGTGCTTAAATTGTATTTACTCTGCAAATTTGCATTTGTTTTTCTTAAACAGAAGAAATAAGAGATGTACCACATTTTACATCAAAACTAGTACATGGAGAACAAGTGTCAAGAAGGAAGAGCCATCTGATTAGTCATTCAGTTTTCAATTTTTCATAGGCTGATGAAATAGTAAAGGAGAGTTTCTGCTGCTTTTGTCCATCTCAACCGCTGATGGAGGTCAACAAGGTTTCCCAAAGAGATTTTGAAAAGCAGTCTTAGTAGTTTGAATTGCTGTTGCATCTGAAGTGCATACAAATGGTCACAGCACAATAACTATCAGCAGAAAACCTTAGTAATTTAGGCAATTGCTATTAACACAGAGGTGGAAGGAGGGACAATATAATTTAACAAAGGCAAATTCATGGTTTGATTTGGTAAAGCACCAGTCTAAAGTGACTCAGGGCCAAGGGAACCATCAAGTGTCTGCAAGCAAAGGAGAAAGCGCATTTTTGGAAGAAAAAGACCAGCAGTGTAGAAGCTACTTAATTCTAAATGTCTGAAGGAATTTCACCCTTTGCAATGCCATTAAATTTTTACAATAACATTATTCCTAAAGGTGTAGTGTTGAAAGAAATTACTCCTGTGAACTCTAGGTCTGGTGTGAGCCTCTGCAGCCTCTTCAACAGGCAGCTTCTGATGACCTCCCATGGGACAGAGCACAGAGGAGCACATGCATCTCAAATAATCTGTAACGAATTCTCATAACACCTATAACAGCATTTAAGAATTTATTCCTTTTAGAAGGCAGAAAAACACCAGATATGCTTGTTATATTTCTGCTTGTAAAACGTTTTTAGAAAGAATAACTGGTAGAAGCCATGACGAGTGAGGTAGAAAGAGCTGGACCATCAGGTTGATCAGACCAAGGTATGTCCAACTGGTATTCTCTCCCTGACAGTGAATTAATGGTGGATACCTGGGGAGAAAAGAACAGCGCTAGCTGTCAATACTCCTCAGTTGCCAGCAATTTGCCATCTGCAATGCCAGAGGTAGCATCTTTGTATTTAATAGCTCTCGATGGGTTTCTCCCAAGAGTTTATTTTGCTGTCTTTCAACCATTGGAGACTTTTAAGCATGCTGTTACTATTGGCTGGTAGAAAATCCTTTGAAATGGGAGGTATGCGTTGTGTGTCCTGTGTTTGTGAGAAGAACATCAGAGCAGGCTGCGATAGCACTGGTGACAGCCTTCCTTATGAATGTAAGCTGGGAGCTAGTGCATGGTTTTAAGCATTCATCGGGTCCTTGCAAGGAAGATATTCTTGCTGGGGCAATACAAAATAGCATGGATGACTGCATGTGGCTGCAAGGCAGAAAATGTGGGGTGCAGTAGATGCTGACTTGCCAAGTTAGCTCAGATGAATCATTTTTCTCTTTGTTTACCTTTCTGCTGGGTTTTCTACTCGGATTGGAGGAGAAGTTACCCTGGCCTGCCTACAGTCAGCTTTTTTTCCTGTTTTTTTCTTGTGCTTAAGTAGTGTGTTGCAGTGTCTGGATTATAAACACAACAGGGGAATGTTTTAAATCTCCCTTATATAAACCTCTGCAAAGCACAGACTCGTGTTGTGGACATTGCTCGCTCACTAGTCCAAGCCAACTGCTTGGTTACTGGCAAGAAATTCAGGAACTCTCTGTACCCCCTCCCCTCACTCCAGGGTGAAATGTACCCCTTGGTAAGTGTTGCTGTGGCCTGTGAATCCTTTCATTTGTTCCTGAGTGATCAAAAGAAGCCTGACGCAGGCTTTTAGGTGACCCAGAGGTCATGCAAGAGAATGCCAGCCAGAAGGTTAAAATTGCTATAGCAGGATGGGCAAAGGTAGGGGCTCTCTGTATGCAAATTCCCCTGGAGGAGAGTGGGAGCAGAGCCTGTAGAAGCATGTCATGAAGAAAGGGTAAGTTAATATGTACAGGGAAGAGAGGAAGGAAAGAAAAGGGATATCTGACAAATAAATTATTTAACATCCACAGGTTTCTGAGAGAGGTCAGCACTCCAAGCACTGCAAATGGGGAGTTTGCCCTGAATTTGTTCTTGGTGAGCAAAGGGCCATCCCTGTTCATGAAAGGTTAGTTAATGTGGGATGCTGTTGCCTTTGGATGTAACTTGAGGGGACGGGTGGCAGAGGGTGTTGCAAGTCACAGAAAGGTCTTGCATCTGAGGAGAGAGCCTCTGATCTCAACCTTTGATCTCAGCTGCATCTAGGGTGGGGGAAGAGTTCAGCCCATGGCTTTAAAAGCTGAGCAGGTTGCTCCCAGGGGAGCCAGCAACCAGAGACACTCAGGCAGGGGAGTCCGAGCGGTGCCCACCTCTGCCGAAGAGAGAGCATTCCCACTGAATGGCGGTCAGTGAGTTCATATGTCTGGTGCGTGGTGGCTTGCTTGGGTTGAGGGCAACTTGGCACCAGGGAGTCCCTGGATCAACAGGTGAAGCTGCATTAGACTTGGTTTTGATTTGTTATGGTTCTTGTTTAACAACAAAAAAACTCCAACCAAATAAAACAAATATTGTAGAAAACAATTCTGTAGTCCAAGAATAGTCCCCTGTTGTTTGGCTTAAAGAATGGAGGACTGTGACTGTATATGTTGGTTCCAAAAGACAAAATTTCAATAAATTAGGGAAAGAAACTGGTAATCTCAACTGGATCGAGATGTAAGGGCCTTGGTTGTGCAAGAGACTTGGAATTTCTTTATTTTGACGTTGTTGATAGCAGCCTCAGCCAGTTTCCTAGAGAAGGGAAGAACAGGGGATAAAGAAGATCCAGATATGACCAATTAATAACTAACTCTAAAGAAGTAACAGGAATAAAGCAGGAAGCCTCTAGGGAATGGTGGATGGATAAATAGTAAGTCCTGACATGTATAACTTCACAAAAAAGAAATAGGGGTAAAATGAGAGAGCCTACAAGTGAATTTGAGTCAGACCATGGCCATACAAAGGCAAGTCTCAGGATTTTCCTCTGCTACAATAAAAGGGGGTAGATAAAGAGGTGGGGATTTCAATGTTCTGGATAAAGCAATGATAAAACCTGTCAAGCATGGGGTGAGATGGGATTATCTCAAAGAGCTGACAAATGAAATTCTGCACACAGTGCAACTGGAGAACATCAAATGAAATGTCTCCATTCATTGAAATATGACCTGGAAAATTATAGGTCTGTAATTCTACTTCAGCAGTATGGCGGGGTCCTGGAGGTAAATGGGCATTGACACAAGGAAAACAAGGGCTTCCCAGAGGTTATCAAACAGTTTAGAGAACAGCTATTAAAAAGGAAAAGCAAAATGTAAAAGACTTCCTTGAAGTAGATATTGGCAAAGGAGCTGCTATGAAAATTAAAAGCAAACCCGCAGAAGATGGGAGGGCTGGTGCAGAGAGACTTTAAGGTGACAAAGACATGGCTAAGTGGGTGGTAATGGAAGGGGTAATGCCCCATGAGAGAGGGGTCCTGGGCCCTCCTTAGTGCTGGTGTCCCCACAGACCTTGGGGGTGCCACAGGAGAAGTCAGGGGAGAAGGTGAATGTATCACACTGCGGTGTCTTCATTGCTCAGGCTATTAAACTCTGTTAAAATAATCCCTGAAATTTGGTCCACCAATTTAGTCTCCAGAAGCCTTGTTTTACAGTCAGGAAAGTAAGTGTCAACTGATGTGATTTTTATTTTTTAGAGTACACTACATCTTCATTTAACTTCAGTTCCCCTCCCTGGTTTTCTGTATTATGTAAGAATTAGCCTTGATATAGAAAAGCTGGACAATGAAGCTGATACCATAATCTGATTTTATGCTAATGTCTTCTCAATAAATCTCCCATTAAACAGAAAATGAAATTAAATGAACAAATATATTCATAATGTGAGACTCTTAAAGGTGGTGTACAATTAGTCACAGTTTTACAAGCAGAAAGAATTGGTGGTAATAAAAAATAACCTTTCTTGTTAATCCCTGAAAATATATTTAAAGTTCAGGCTCAACCTTTTTAAAGGACTGCCAAAAAGATTTTAATTTGAGGGGCCTGAGAATTTTTGCATATCCTAAACTTTGGTAGATTGTGAATACCAAACATAATGTTAAAAAAGGAAACGTGTCCTCACTATGCTCACCCCTTAATCGATTTATTATATCTAATTTCAGAACCTCTAGGATATGCCAATATTTTTGGGAGCTTGGTATTCTCCATAATATTTGAATGGCCTAAATTGGGTAGAATTACTGTCAATGGAAGCAGTGCAATGAAATGCATATTTGATAAGTAATAAAAGCTCTCAAACATTTTGTCAATGGACAGTCATTCCAACATCACCGCTATTACTCTGTAACTTGGGTTTTCTTTTAAAATCCCACCCTACCGTAGTGAAGAATAGTTGATATAGTTCTAAAAGACAATTATTTTTTTCTATGGAAAAACTTGGATGATGGAGGATAATAGATTCTGCATCAGAGTAACTTGTTCCATATATTCTAGATGCCTGTAGGAAAAAAGCAACAATTATCTTCAGGGGGAACTGAAAACTCTCAACTGGAGGTCTGATGAGTGTTTTGCAAAAGGCTTCCTAAACTCATATCTATATTTCCTGATCTGTCTTGAAGTCTTGTCCAAAAGCAATGTGGTATTCTCCTTGGTTGGGGCTTTTTTTCGCTTTCCTCACCTTTGGTTGGGCAATGTGGATGCAGATGTGCTGGCTTTGGCTGGAGTAGAGTTAATTTTCTCCACAGAAGCCAATAAGGGGCTATGGTTTGGATTTGTGCTGGGAACAGCCTTGATAACACAGGGATGTTTTGGTTATTGCTGAGCAGGGCTTACACAGAGCCAAGGCCATTTCTGCCTCTCATCCCACCCCACCAGCGAGTGGCTGGGGGACCACAAGGAGTTGGGGGGGACACGGCTGGGACAGCTGACCCCAGCTGACCCCAGGGGTATCCCACACCATATGACATCATGCTCAGCACATAGAGCTGGGGGAAGAAGAAGGAAGGGGGGGACATTTGGAGTGATGGCGTTTGTCTTCCCAAGTGACCGTTATGCGTGATGGAGCCCGGCTGTCCTGGGGATGGCTGAGCACCCACCTACCCATGGGAGGAGGGGATGAATTGTTGGTTTGCTTTGCTTGCATGCGCAGCTTTTGCTTTACCTGTTCAAATGCCTTTATCTCAACCCACGAGTTTTCTCACTTTTACCCTTCCAATTCTCTCCCCCATCCCACCGGGGGCGGGGAGAGGAGTGGCTGTGGGGCTGAGTTGCTGGCTGGGGTTAAACCATGACAGTGGGTAACTGGGGAAGGTAGGTTCTCTGCTCCCACAGTCCTTGTTAAGGAGAGGGGGGAAAAAAGACAGCTTCTCTACCTAGGTGAGGTAAAGTGTGAGAGGGATATGATTGCTCTCAGTAAAACCGTCAGAGAGTAACACCAGGGAAGAGGAGAAAGCCACTGAGCTGCGTAACGCCATCAGCACAAAAACATAAACCAGAAGTAGATAAAGTTGAGTTAGCTGGCATGTTATTAACAATGAGAAGCGGGAGGCTCTGGGGCAATGTCTTCATGTGAGGAGCAGGCAATAAATGCTTATGGCAGTTTGAGGAGTATATGAACCAGATCTCGTTATATTTATGCAGTGTTCTCGAACTGGCTTTCAACTCCTTGTGTTAATGCTGTGTGTTCAACTGGCGATCTGGGGGTGCCCCAGCATGGTGCTGAGGTTGGAGAGGAGGTAACGTGTCCGTCTACTGTGCGTGCAACAGTTGCCCAGGCACGGGGGGAGCTTGAAGCCCGTAGCGTAAGGGCCCCATATTAGTGTTATCATTTAACAGCTGTAAAAGTAGATGAGAGAAAGCAAGAATTCAGGAGTAGCCACATTGCTAGCTTGAAATAATAGTTTTTTCTCTATGGTTCCAGTAGTATACTCCTACTTACAGCTTGAATCCAAACTGCATCCCTGAAGAGGCAGTGGACTCTCATAGATACAAATTATGCTGTACTGTTCCACCATGGTGTTTTCCCTTTTTTTTTCTTTTCTCAGGGTAAGCAAAGGTGCTTCTCTCCCTAGTTACCTGACTACTACCTCTGAGGTTCAGCAAAATGTGTTCAGCTGATGTCTGGGTCTGCTCTCTCCCATTAGCTCTGATGCCTTTTTATATCAGATTCCTTTGCTTCTGAGTTTGCAATATGTAAAAGCAATAAACCACCTTTAATCCACAAAGGTACAGGTGTACCTACCTGGCACCCTTTGCTGTGGGTCCTTCTTCTTTCCCCCTCTGATTTAGTAGTGTCTTGACCTTGAGAGAAGACGTGTGGATTAACTCCTGAGAGGCACATAGGTTTTACTTCTTTTTCTTTTTACCCTCATTTTATTTTAATGGCCAGGGAAAATGGGAAGAATGCAAATGAGTGAATGCCCTCTTTGATCTGTGTCGCTCCTTAGCATAATCTGCTAACCCGGCAGGAAGAATTGCTGCCCCTAAGTAGGAAGAAACTTCAGCTTCTTTTTGCAAGTAGTTTCTCACAGTTTGTTTGTTTGGCTCGGGGGACACAAGCAGCCGAGAGCCTTGTCCTGCAGAACAGGGGAGCTGGACACGTTGTGGGACTGATCGCATGCTGCTCACGTAATGGGAATTATTCTTTTAAGCAGGGATAACCTGAAATCATAAGGTTTTCCACTCCTGAAAAATACACAATGAAGCATTTAGCCTAAAAACAGAAGCACTGTGGCAAGTGCTTCTCTCCAGAGGGACGGGCTGAGCCACTGTGACAGGGGCAACCTATAGAAGCCACCTTCCAAGGTGAGACACTGAGCTGCCAGCTGGATGTGGAAGAGCAAATGGAGGCATTAACTTCAGTTCTGAATGAGGTCTGTCCCTGAACATGGAAGCCATGGGAGTATTTTGAGGGTGCGTATTTAAAATACAGGGCAGGACTGGGTTATTGGAGAGGGCGGGGTGATTTTGGTCATGTTAAAATTGAACAATAAAACTGTTAATAGCCAGCAAAAGATCAAGGCTTCAAGAGTGGGTGATCCTCTGTACCTCTGACTTATTTTACTAGACTTTAAAATGATGCCTAATTACATTATATGCATATTCTGTAAAACACACATATCCTCTGCTCTGCAGGGCTTCAGGAAGTGGTTTTCTTTGCTCTGAAATCCGGATTGATCATGTCTCCTCCAGCCCCTTCAGACCTGGGCTATGTACCCCCTGACGGCGGATGGGGCTGGGCAGTGGTGTTCGGAGCCTCCATCTCCGTTGGATTTGCGTATACCTTTCCTAAAGCATTCACAATATACTTTAAAGAGCTCCAGGCTGTTTACAGCATCTCCTACAGCCAGATTGCCTGGATAACATCCATCATGTGCGCTACCACCTATGGAGGAGGTAAGTGAAGCAAGACCGTATCTTTCTTTGCAAAAGAGGAGGTCGGATCTCTACACCGATAGGGGAGGGGAGAGTATCTTCCTTTGAGAAAGCTCTTGGAAAGCTCTAACTGCAAGTTTGGTGCTCTGTTTTCTGACAACGTACATTGGCAAAACAGAGAAAACCAGTACTGTCAAGTATTTATTGACATCATATACGACGTCACCAATTCTTGTTACTTCATCAGAAATATTGCTTATGTGTGGGTGGAGGTTTGGCCGCAGTGGAATTATTTGAGTCTTGAGCAGTTATTTCGGTATATTTAGTATTGTACCTTTTGTTCTGTTCATATTCTCGGCTTTCTTTTTGAAACAAAAAAATGTATTTCTTGCACTCATGATTGTAGAGAAGATGCTGGGGATGAAACCTGAAATTTTGCTGATGAAGAGGCATAGCATACATGCATGTAAATCTTGAGATTGTATGTAAATATGTTTTTAAATATTCCCTAATTCTGTTGCTAAAATCTTGGTGCAAGTCATTTATTAAGGGATGATGGTTTTAGAGTTCTCTCTGCAGAATCTTTCTGAAAGGACAAATGTGTCCACTGGTTACTTCAAGTGAAAATATTCACTGAGTACTTGCACCTTGGCTGCAAAAGTTGCCATTGTGCAAAGGTTGTGGGAAGGCATTACCTGTCCTCATAATGCAAACACCAAGTGGATATTCTCAGAGGGATGTTTGGCTCAGATACTGATGCTCGTTATCAGTCTGCCACTTAGATCTGAGGAGCTGGTGTGTATCTTACTGTTAATGGTTAGTAGAGGACCATCTTGCATTTAAGTTGCTGGTGCCTGTGAGGTGCGGCTGCTGGTGGTTATTGCTGGGCTCTTGGCAGACTCTTGGCTCTTCATAGCTTGTTTTGCAAGGGTGAAACGTAAAAGGATTAACACTTAAGAACACAAGAATAGCCACATCGACTCACATTTACCCAAACCTGTATTCTTCCTCAAACAAAGTCAGTGACACACACTTTGGGAAAGACTATTACAAAAATGTGATAGATGGATGGATCCTCTTCGTAACCCCTTGTCCTCAGGACGGTGCGGTTCAGAGGCTTTCTGGGTCACACACTACAAATGACAGGGTACACCCTGTGTACAGAAGTCACTCATCTCATGTCCTTTAGGAACTGGTTTTGCATGGCAATAAAAGAAGAGCTCTTTTGTCATCCGACACAGGATGGATTAAGGTGAACAGAGAAAATTTCCGTAAGGCTCACCTGGCACTCAGGACAGTGATACACGGTCACTGTCAGTGCCCCGAGCAATACCTGTGGCTCCGTGGACAACCTGCATCTTTACTCTTTTGACAGCTCATGCCTAGTGTTACTGAGTGTGCGGTTCCCACAATGACCGCGTGCCTTGGAAAGCTGGCATGGGAGCAAGCGACTTTTTACTTACTGATTCAAATCCAGCCCTTGTCAAGGGAGGCTGAAGGCTCCTACTGCCTCTGAGCCAGCAGCTGGTCTCAGCCCCTTCCCAGCGGGCAGGTACCCACATCGCCAACCCACTGGGGCTGACTGGCGCGCTTGGGGCTCAGGAGGTACGTGACCAGAGAGGTGTGAGAGATGAGGTGCTTCCCTGCTTGCAGAAAGAGCCTTTCGGGTCTGGCTGGAGCTGATTGGCCGGGCAGTGGGGAGGCTTCTTTGGGCTCTTTGGGCTACTGTCTCTACTGTAGATGGACAGAAAGGTTCAAATTCCCGGGTTATTAAACCAGCAGCTCTACTGAGCACCTATTTCCCCTTGAAACAATGAATGTATATCCTGTGGCTGCTGTTTGGCTCTGGTGGTTTCATGTCAGGAGCTGAGAAGGGCTAACGGAGCCCGAGTGAGAGGCCGAAAAGCGACTCGGGCTGTGTGGGACTGCTGGAGGGCTCGTTTCCTCAGGGGGGCTGTTTAGGCCGTCTGAAAATTGAGTGTCTGAAACTGAGCACCGAACATTGGAGATGTCTCAGACTGGTTGAGATTTCTGGCTTTTTGCTTTCCACATTCCCTGAGCTGGGGCTCTTGACACCCAGATGAAGATCCAGAGGAGAGTACAGCAAGGCAGCTGCTGTCAGTGATCTTGATGGGGGAAGAAGCCGTTCAGCATAAAACTTTGTAGTTTTCATCATTGAGCATCCCATCTTTAAATACAGATTTTAATGAAATGTTATTGCTGCAGAGCTACTGTTATAAGCTACAGCTGAGTGCGCAAGCGCCTCCCTTTCCCAGATGTCAGATGTGACAACAGGAGGGTGTCCACGTAAGCAGGAAAATATGAGATGCTGTGAAGCAAGCCAACTTTTTCTTTTCGGCATTGCATTTACCTTGACACAGACTTTGGACTAAGCACTCGATGCTGGCAGGGAGGTCCTGCCTGTCCCACCTTCCCTGGCGTTTTGACAAGAACTTGGGTTTCTTGCTGCATGAGCACCTTTCCTCTCTGGGGGGCTGTCCCATGGTGTGGTAGCTGTTGCTCTTCACCTCACTCAGTTTTTAAATCACTGTAGCATCTGCGTTAAAAAAAAAACAAACAAACCCAAACTATGAAAAAAAAATGGATCTTGGAAAAAAAAAAGAAGCAATAATCCCTGTGTAATCATTATAGACTCTTCTAGAATTAAGGAAGATCAATTATCTCCTCTGCTCCTGCGAATGATTAATAATCCTAAACATTTCCCTGTCATGTTCTCATCTTTCAGCTGTTGTTTCCAGTAAATGGTGTTGACATCTCCATAGATCTGAAAGCAGCAGCATGCTAATAGTAATAGAAGAGGGAACAGCAATAATAACAGATTTAGGAGTTTCTTCTCAGGGAATAAATATCTTTGAGTGCATAAGTAATTGAATACTCAGTTTGATCTTCCTTTCAGCTACACCAGCATAAATCTGGAATGATTCTGTAGCGTGCAGTGAAGCTGCACGCTGTGTTTGAGAGCGGAGGAAAGCACCAGCCAGCCACGCTGCCCAGAGTGGTTGGGGGCATGCAGGGGATCCCTTCAAGGAGAATTATGCCTTTAAACACTAACTTTCGTTTTACAATATTCAGAAATGCTACAGCTGACTGTTTAGAAAGTAGTCTTTTAGGACAGCGTGTCTTTCTTTGCACTAGAGTAATTGGGGAAAAAAACCCAACTTCAACAAACATTAACATTGAATATTGCTTCTGGGTGAAACTTTGGCTGCGCTGAAGTCAGCCAGCACCTTGCCATCATCTTTTGTGGAGCCAGGATTTTATCTTTCAGCTGCAAAGTTTGATCTGCAGCTCTGTGGTGCTAGAAGCCTGGAAAATTTCAGCCCCAAGCCATGGTATTTAGGAAAGGGGGCTGAGAACTGAATGAAATTTTAGAAATTAATTCTGTGACTGCAAACACTCAGTTTCACAAAGGTCTCTGGGAATGTTAAGTGATGGAGGGCCCTATAAACACGACCTAGGTAATAGGTGCGCCTCTGAAGCCTGTCTTAGGTGGAGTCATTTCTGTGGCATGGAGGGGGCTCTTGGGAAGGTCAGTCTGTAAACCCAGGATTACAGCAAGCCTGAGCAAATACTATGCTCGGACCCAAAGGCTCGTCTTTTTGATCTTGTGGGGTAACATGGATGTACAGTGTCAAAAGTTCAACAAGCTCCTAAAGAACAATCTGTGTAAGACCTTGAAAGTTAATACCAAAGCATCGTGCTTGATCTGCTGGACAACGGTCAGCCAGAAGAGCAAAGCAACACAGAAAATGCAGGAGCCTGGCTGAGTTTACCTACAGTAATATTGTGTATTGCATCACCCGGTGCTAAGGGCACGGAGGGTTATGCACAGCTAGCCACCCGCGTGGTTCCTGGACTAAGCTCTTCCCATGTTGGGTTCTGTTTCTTATTTCCATACCCCAGCATTTAACTACATTTAAAAGGTAAGGAAGGAGCTTGCTGGGTTCCCTCCATGCCATTAAGAGGAGGTAGTTATGTGCAGAGTGGCTGCAGACTTTGTCCTGCAGGGCTGCTATCTGCCCACTCTCTTGCAGCATCCAGCAGCCACACTGGTGACGAGAGCTGTGCCGTATTGGCCAAAATTGGCTTCTGCTCAGTGCACCTGTGTCCTCGGAGCAAATCAAAGGTGCCTTACATATATGCAGCAAACAGCAGTAACTGCTCCCGGAATGCTGCAGTCCTAGAGGAAGGTTTCTGGGGGAACTCACAGCAAGAGCAGAAGCCCTCATGGAGTTATGATCACTTGCCATAACAGTTTTGTTTGATGGGGGGGAGGAATCCCAACAAAGCCCCAGCTGCCTCTTTATGATAGTTTTCTGTAGCTTTGAGTATCCCTGTAATACCTTGAAAATTTGGGTGAGGTGGGGTTAATCTTTTGGGAAAATACCTGCGTTATGTAACGGCTCAGAGTACTGTGGTCTGCAAACAAGAGTGTCCCAGAGACTACTTGCAAACCAGGGCAATGTTCCCCTGTCCCCAAACCAAGGAGCTGCTGACCCTCAATTCAGTCTTAGCCCACGCTGTGCAGTTCCAGCTTTCTGCTGTTCTGGAGCAGGACTCGCTCCTTGTGGCACCCCTGTACAAACATCAGGAGGGTTTAATAAGATCCAAAGCTCTCCACCTTGTTGGAGTGTTATTCAGGCAGCCCTGAGGCAGGTGATCCCCTTTCTGTCCTGTTGACAGCTACTTGAGAGTTTGTGTGGCAGGAGAGCTTTGGAGATGGGCTGGAGACAGCGGTGGTCTTCTGGACCCAGCTGTGCTACAGCTGTTCAGGGTCGTGCCTTGGAGAAGCTGCTTGTTGGAGGGGCTGGATGTGTTTGGACCCTGCAGTTACAATTCCTTGGATTAGTTTTGACAGGCTAAACTGCAGATCTTTGCTAACTTGTTTCCTTTTCACTGAAATGAGTAAGGAAACTCTCTCAAGCCTATTTCCATCAGAAGCCAAAGGAGACCCACGGGCTCAGTGGAGGTGAGCCCAAGCCCACAAGCTTGGGCTGCAG